CGGCGGGCCTTTCCCCTCCCGCCCTCGGCACAGGTTGCTGGGTCGGGACAGCAAACGAAAGGGGATTTAGTAACAAACAACGGCGGCCATGTTGAGAGGAATTTCTGCAGCTAAACTTCTCCCTTCTCAGCCCAGGGATTTCTCTCCCTCTCTGGGGGGCTCCCTGGCCTGACTTCGTGTCCCCCTCTTTTCTCTCTCTCCTCCCCAACAGGATGACAGTGAAACTGGGAGAGAGCAGTGGGGAGGAAGGGGTGAAAAAGCTGGGCAAGAGAGCAGGAGGAGATGAGGAGTCCCTGGAAGAAGAAGGGGCAGGAGGAGGAGAGGCAGTTCCAGGCAGCAGCAGCACAAAGAAAGAGGAGAAGATTATTAACAACAACACTAACAGCAGCCCCCCACCAAACCCCAGCTTATCGCAGGCTCCGGCCTCCCTGCAGCCCTCCCACAGCCAGGACCAGCATCATTTTCTCAGGTCCAGCGTCAGACCTCAGAGCAAGAGGCTGAAGAAGGACTCCCAGGCATCCTCTTCAGTTGGCAGCAGCACTGCTGCGAAAGGCAAAGGTACTGTATTTTGGCACCCTTAAAACACGTGGGCAAGGAGGTAGTGGGGAGGCGGGGGAGTCACCTGTGGGTTTGGGGGTTGTCACTCCCCTCCTGTAGATGCCATCTTTTGTTTGGTTTTGGGGAAGGTGTTCTGGGGCCTGTTTCTCACAGTGGCTGAAATCTTCTTTGTGTCCCAAGGCTTCAGCTTCTCTGCTGCCCACTTTCCTCTTTGCACTTGCAGAAATCGGGGGTTTGGATGTGTGTGTGGAGAAGGAAGAAATCGCCATTACTGAAGCAAACCTTTAATTCCTGCATTTCATCTCTCTTGAGTTTTAGGAAATTCCTGTATTTTGATTAGGAAATCAGACGGTAGCTAGCTGTGTAATCAGGTGGCTGCACTCTGAATTCTCTTCTTGGATAACAACTATTCACTGTGTGCTAGTTAAAGAAGGGGGAAGAAACAACCCACAAGACACTGGTGTTTTCCCCCAATTTTGCGTATGACTATTTTATCCAAAGAACTATTGTGGAAACAGCTATGAAATATTGACATACTTGTTTCTAAGGTTTTGAGAGTGCTGCATGACTATTTCAGAACAGTTTAGGCATTTCCATGCAATTTGAGTTTTTATTAATATTGTTTTGAGTCCATCTGAAGGTATGTATGTACATAATTACATACACATGCTTTTTCACTTTAGCGTTGTAGATAGCTTTGAAAAAAACCCAAAATCCTATTTCTTACTTGAATAGCTAGAAGACATCAGGGATATTTGAATATTTGGTGCTATTGTGTGGGCTTAGCAGTTACTGGATGACACCTGGCACTGTAGTTGTACTTGAGACTAATTTTGGATACCTAGTGCAAAAGTATTCAAGTGTTATTTTCTGTTAATTTTCGAGAAAAACAATGCTCATAGATTTCTTCCAACATTTGAAATAAGAAAGTTTACTCGTCTGCTAAGACTCCACGTAGCATAAATGTGCCTTGGAGTTTACCTCGCTCTGTGGTCCATTACAATGGTGTTCACACACTTAATGGTAAACATTAAGAATTATGGTAGTTTTGTGTTACAGTGGTCAAGCAGTGCAAATTGAGATACTTAGTTATTGCCGTATTGTGAAAAAAAAAATCTTGAACTTAGTTGCTTGACAGTTAGTTTATATAATTGAGAAAAATATTTTTTAATATCACAGTAAGTCCTCTTTCATCTCTTCAACTTTTTTTTTTTATAAGTGGAAAGCTCCTGTGTGTGATGATGGAGGATAGAACAGAAAGGCCTGCATAATTTTTCTCCCAGTTGCATTAAACCAAATAAACAAACAGATGGAATACCTAGTAGTGTGTAGCTACAGATAACTATTTCAAGTGTTGTAAGTAGCATTAAATGCAAGGAGGTGTTTCTTTGGAAACATGTTGTTCATGATTGACAAGTCAAAACATACACATTTGAAATCATTCTGTTACTTTGAAAGTGTGTACACGTGTGAACAAAGTACATGTATCTGTGCACTTGTCTATTCATGTTTATGTATTTTATGTAAACATTTGTTTCCAATTTTAGAGCAGCAGAACAATTTCTAACTAGGTGCATCAACACGATTGAAAAGCAAACTGTTTATTTTGCAATTAAGATGCCAAAATAAACCTAATAAAATTATATGCAGAATGGAAAAATATTATTTCAGTAATTGGTCCCAGACAGTGCTTGTAAGCACTGTACCTGACTGTTTTCAGGTTCAAGGAAACTTCTGAAATCACTGGTGGCAACAATCAGTGGTAGAATTATGGTTATGCTTTCACTTTTTTGAACTGTAGGACCAGCCGCAGCTCTGCCTGGCTAGTTTTGACGTGACTGCATTAAAGTTGGTTTCTCTGGTGCAGTTGAGATTGTAACTGTCAAATCTTGGAGAAGAGAGCCATGGGGGGAACCCTTTATAATCTGAGATCTTCACATTCGGGGATGCATACTGAGAGGTTTTCCAGGCTCGTCTGAATTCTCCCTGATGGACTGTCTTGTGTTTAGAATTTATAGGTCTTTGCATTCCCGGTGAAATGTCTCACAGAGCTAGCTTCCGATAGGGAGCTAATGGAAGCGTGAAGATTAGTAATAAAGGTTGGACTTAAATCCTTCCACTTGCTGTCCCACTAATTTTCTCCTCCCCCTATAAGTATAAAAACAATAAAAAGCTCGAATGCCTGTGCTTTGGATCAGCTCTGAAAACTGGAAGCTTTTCCATTTTTCATGACATGGCCAAGGTGAGAGCTGCGAAGGTGATTTTCACATTGGCCAGCAGGAGTGTCTAGACCACACTTAGGCTTGGTCCAGTGAAACCAGAAACTTGTTTTTTTAATGGTATTTCAGTAATTCTGTGTAACCCTCAACATAAAGTGGTCCTGCTTTTAGAGTCTGTGTGTTCTAGAGTGAAAACTTTCAAAGTCCTTTTCAGCTCCATTTTAAGGACTGTAACCAAAAACCATTATTTCTTTCAGATTGTAGTTACTCAGCGGGCATTGGCTTGTCCTAATCATGTGTTTGAGTGTGTTAAAATAGTATTTTTTATCTGTCTGTTGCAGATCCTGGTTTACTTTTGACATCTGTGCTTTTAGGGTGCTTCATTGTAGAAGGCAAATTATTGATAAGCTAACATTTACCGTAAACTGTAGGGAGAGTTTGCCCACTCAGCAGCTGCTGACTTCTCAACTCTCCTAGGGTTCAGGGGAGATTGTTAATAATAATTCTCAAATTCTGCCTAGTAGAATGTGTAAGTGTATAGCTAATTTTCAGATCAACCTGACGTAATCTTTAATTGCATCCTGTCTCTTGCTTTTTGCGTACTGAGTTGCACTTTTGAGTTTAGGGCAAAAATGACAGAAAGTAGCATAGTGAGGTAAAATCGCAAACTGTTTCGCTTGAAAAAGCCAATCAGTTTTTAATTACTGAAAGGTTTATTAAATTTCCTGCACAAATATCTAAATCTCTGCTTTTTTTGGTTTTTTGAATGATTATCATCTTGTTTTCAGAGGGTGGTCGTCATGTTCTTGTGTTTTCAAGTTTGTAGTCTACACCTCAAATAATGCACGCCTTTTGAAGTACAAATGCGTGGAAGTAAGTCTTAAAGTAACTTGCATGAAATCAGAGGAGGAACTTGAATAGTGGGGGGTCAGGCAGTTTATTATGAGAGTTCAAAAGCAGGGGGGGTTTATTGAGGGAGAGGAAGCTGACAATATAAGGGTGCTGAAAAGGATGTATTTCTGTCAGTTTACTTCTCAAATACACCATATGGTTGCTGAGCAAAGGTTTTAAGGTGTGTTTTGGGGCTTTTTGCCATTAAGTGAGGGTGGTTAGAATATGCATGTGCATGTTGTGACCACACTGGTAAAAGCAAATGTGAGTACAGTGCCATCATGTGCTGTAGATTAGCTTGAACTGGAGTAGAGTGTTCCCATTTATAAGTTTTTACCCATTTTTTCTGACTGCAGAATGATATCAGGAGGAAATAGTAACAAAGTCTAATGGTGATGAGCTGAAACTTGATGTCTTTTATGGTCTAGATTTATTAATAAAATATGTAGAATGGCCCAAACAAGTATTTGGATTTGCTTTGCAGTAATAAGCATTTCTTTCTTTAAAAAATAATTACTCAGCTGAAAGTATTAATTGAACCATCTTTTGTCGTGGTGTAAAACTTGCTAGAAAGCAGTCCAGTTTGTTTAGCCCATCAAAGCTGCATGTCCCATAGCATGAGAGTTAAATGAACTGCTGTGTTCTCCTGTAGAGAGGATGTGTGTAACAAGATACCCGATGTATGTCCTTACCACAGAATTTTATTGTATCTTCCCAAATTTGTATGCTGTAGAATGTATTGTAACCTTCACTTGAAACATCATTCCTCTAGGACATGAACGACTGTTGAAAAACTACTGGCACTGTCCCTTGTTCTAATACTCTCCTTAATTCTGTCTGTCTTGTTTATACTTGGTACAACTTCATCCATCCTAACCTGACATGCTTTCATTCGTTCTTTGCCCTCCCACTTATCCCGGTCCTCTGTCGCTTCCTTTGAAAGTGACTTAACACCAGAACTCTGCAGTATCGCTTCCTGCACCACAAGAGGGGGATTTTTTCATGTGCCCTGTGCAGTAGGTACTGAACTTTGAAAGGTCCTTGTCTGTAGTGCTGCACAACCACATGGTTTAGATGGAACTTCATACTAGCCTTTATGGGTGTTTTCTAATGGCAGAGCAAGAGAATAATGGTCTACTGGTAAGCAAATTTGTAATAAACCATGTTTGTTTTTTTACTGCTGTGCTTAGTTAGCTGAGGTAGTGCTGCATTTGATAGTTTAAATACATGGTTTGCAGAAAAGCAAATTTTTAGTACAGTTTTGTTTGTAGGCTGCTGTTGATAATTGACACTGTATATGTTCAAACACATTCAGCTAAATCTGTTGTAGATAGTCTTGTAGATAGTAAGAGGTAGAAGAAGCTAGACTAGTCTGTATCCTTGTAGGACATTCACATGTTGAGCTTAAAATTTTGGATGTTAATTCATAACAAGAACGCTGTATGGCATAACCATGTGACATGGCATAAGCTGTCCTAGACTTAGCACGGACTACTAAGATGGTTATTTGCTGTGGATCGTACAAGGTAGAAACTTGGTTTCCTGATATAACATTAGTACTCAAACTGAAGTGTTGACTTGCATGAAATGTCTGTATCTCTCCCTCTCTCATCTGTGTTCTCTTCTCAGCTACAGTTCTTGGAGATGAAAGCAGATTGGATCCAGCCTGCAGCCTTGTTGGGCTGTTCTTCCGCAGGGCGAGTGGCTTCACTTAAATTCCCAAAAGGCACACTTTCTATGGGATCACCTAACTAATTTCTTCACTCAGGTGTATGATGTAGTATCTACCATTAGAAAGCTATGTGGCTAAACATAGGTCTCGTTTTCCAAGCGGTCAGAAAGCAAGTTTGGATGTTTGTCATCGATTACTTTTTCATTCAAATTGAGGAGTAAATGCTTGTTGAGGAATGCTCTGCCATGAGTATAGCAGATTGTATTTGAAGCTTTCTGGGACATGCAGATTGTAGTGTCTTACCCAGCTCTGTTGACAACAGATGTTGTGATGTACATTTTGTAAGACTGCTGAGCACTAACACAGGATTGTGAGAGTAAAATAGTCTGATATGGCCTCCCTAATGACAGTCTTTACTGATACCACTTTTGAAGGTGAACTTGTGTAGTTGAGCCTTGCTGTTGGCTCCTGTAGAACCTTCTGGCATGTTAAAAATTGGCATTCTCATCCTGTGCATGGAGGACTCAGGTTGGCATTCTCACGCTCCGCATTTGGCCTGTGTCATGCAAAAGAGTGTGAAAGTACCATCTCATTTATAAAGGTATTCCCTGCTAGTTGTTCCACCTACAGCTGACTGGTGACTCCTCAGGAAGGTGAGATTTTGTAAGCTAAGTGTGTAGAACACCAAGAAGAGAACCAGCCGGTGTGCTGAGATAGATGGGTGTAGTGCAGATTGTGAATTCCAGCTTCTGTGTATGTGGAATCTATAATAGAAAATATGAATCAGCTGGCGTGTAAGAGCTGCCAGTGGAAAATTGAAAAGCAAACGCTAAGATGCCGTGTAGAACCTGTAAGGAAGACCTTGTGGCTGTAGCCATAAGGTACCATTACTATCAGTGACTTGATTATTTGAGACATGCATTGTTGCATTTGGCATTTTCATATCAGATTTTTGAGTTGCAGTTTTTAAATACCTCTATATAATTTTTGCAAATGTCTGTGTTTTGCTTAGAACTACAAGGAAGACAGCCTGTAGTTTGGGAAGATGTTATGCCATTCACAGGTGAATGAAGTTCTAATGTTGGAGCGTATGGATAGGTAGAGAACATGGGATAAAAGGAATGAATGAGTTTCTCCGAAACACTGGTTTTCTGATTGGTGATTTTGTTGGGAGTTATAGTACAAATACCAAGAAACCTGGTATCTTTGCAAACTCTGTGTTGACAGTGCAACTGTGTGAAAATGCAGAGAATGTGTATAAAAGTTTGGGAAACTAGTTGGGACTGCTGCATTGTACAAACTGGATTTATAAGCAGATAAACTAAGGCAAGCCAATTTGTCATGAGATAAAAGACAAAACGTTACAAAATACCGTAAACAGAGAAATGGAAATGGTAACTAGTATTTTTTATGATGAGTAGTGTATGTTTAATGTTCAAAGGCTTCTGCTTTATGAAGTGCACTTCTGCATTGATAAGGGCAGTCAAATCTTAAATAATATTTCTTTGCAAAATTGAAGAGAATGTATTTTGGAAATGCAAGTTACTGAGAACAGTTACATTTTCATGGGAAAAGGTGAGTGCACTTTTTGGGAGGTCTCCCTGGTTTCTGGATTGACATTTTGATAATCTGTTACAGTGTCAAAGTAAGCATGATGTTTGGTTTGATTCCTGTTGTGAGTAACTCACAGGTTTGAGGTTAGTTAATAATGTGTTTGATTGAAATGGTTGTGAAAGACTAAGAGTTTCAGAGGTGATAAAAAAACCCAGGCATTTTCTGCTGAATTAAGGTGAGGGAATGGAATCTTGCTGCATCCTCTGTTGCTCTCGCCTTCCTGTCCCCTATGCGCATGAGCAGCAAATTCTCTTCGTTCCATCAGGCTTGATTCTCATTTTAGTATTTCTGATCTTTGTATTTTTTCCTGATCCATGCTCTTTGGGGTGCTGATAACTGACGGAGGTACAATCAAGATTACACTTCTGTGCCTTTTTCCAAAAGTCACAGTAGGATTTAGGGAGCCATCCTTGGGATATCTTGGATTATCCTAGATGGACTAGGTGTCAGGGATGGTGCTCTTCATACTGAGGATCAGATTCTTGAGAATGCTGATCTGTTGTCGTGTGATGATCTAAAGTAGACATCTTTCAGTCCTTTCATTACCACAGTTAGTTTGGAAGCAGTAGGATCAAGACTGAAGACAAGGATATGAAAGGAAGTATATTTTCTCATGGTCATTAGTTGGCTTGATTGGTCACTTTGGTCGGTATTGTTAAGAAGTTCCCTTCAACTACAAAGGGGAAACTGCAGAGCACACCAGTGTATAAGCATCAGAGTGTGTGTCGTCTTTTAGAGGTTGCTTTGGTATATTCCTGCTTATCTCTCTCATCTCTGGAAATACACAATTAAGCCATTGAAACCTTCCCTTGTTTTTTTGCTGTTTGAGATTTTTCTCTGTTTAAAAAAGGCCTTGTTATTTGGTTATTGTACTTCAGATAAGTAGCTTGAAAAAAAAACTGATACAGATGGGAGTGGTGAAGGAAGAAATTCTGAGCTCTTCCCATATCCCTATCCATGAATTCTCCTGTTGGTTTAATATTCACTCTGGTCCTGTATTTTTTTGCAGCAGCAGATAATGGAGGGACTGCATCTGGTGGCACATCAGGAATTCCTCCCAGCAATCCTTCTGGGAATTCCAAGTCAGCTGCAAGGAACCTGGGCTCCTCAGCTGGAGAGAAGGAGGAAGGAAAGAAGGTCAGACGGCAGTGGGAATCGTGGAGCACAGAGGACAAAAATACCTTCTTCGAGGGACTGTATGAGGTACATGTAGAAGAAGATAACAAGCTTAGATGGCTTCATTTAATGTTTGGATATTCCTAAAGGAGGTTCATTCACTTGAGAGTTGAAGGAGCAAAAGGCATACCTGCACATGAGCATTTGTTTGCCTAAGCATATATGACTGTGCAGTTGGGTATTATCCAGCTGTCAATCAAAAGCACATTTCGAAAGTGTCAAACTTTCTGGTTTGTTTTGAAATATGCGGGAAATAGTCCTGAGTTTGATGTATGATTGTTCATAAAAATTCAAATTACTTTTCAGGTATGGATCTGTTTCACATGAGAAATAAATAAATCAATGTCCCCATCTCAACTTTGAAAAGCAACACGCTTATACTCTCACATTAGTAAACAAGAACATATGTTCTATTCTAATGAGAATTTTATGTGCTGTGTTTAGCCTTTGACCATGAAAAGGTTTGAGCTAGTTCAGCACTAGGGCTGAAAGACAAAGTTAGATCATCTTATTTTTTATCTCGTATGATGTATACGATATGTTCCTGGTTGTCCAGGAGCAATTCTGTTATGAAAACACATAATGTAAAAACAGAAGAAGTAGTGGTGTGTTTTCTTTGCATGGGTGAATTTTTTCATAAATACTTGTTTTAGTGGTAGGTGTGATTCATGTGTATAGATTTTTTGAACAAATTAACACTTAAACACTGTTTTTTAACTCCTCTGACTTGCAGTAATATTCCTGGGGATCATGTAATTTTTAAGTGCCTCAATCGCTCAAAGAAAACATGTTATGTATTTGGGCATTGTTTTTTGGGTGTTTTTGGAATGCTGAGGAAAAAGTTCAAAAATTTGCTCTGAGGTGGATTTGGTACTCATGTTGCTTGATCCCCCACTTCCATTTATTTTTGTGTCACTACTTTTCAGAGGAGGCTTTCACATTTTGTATTTAAATCAGTTCCAACCTTTTTTGAATGCTAAGAAATTTTGTGATAGCAGGAATTCAGTGATAATGTATCTAAAATTAAATTTTCCTCTTTTGAACTCCAAGGATTTTTTAGGTATTAGCTACTTCTAAAGGGACACTTAAGTGTCACATTTTTTTTACCTAGAGAATAAACTTATGAATGACCTACAATCTACAAATGTGTTTTCTGTAAGAAGTGTTTCTTCTTTAGTGGAACACTTTTCCTTTATTAGTTGAAACTCGAATTTGTACTCCTGATAACCAGAGCATGAAACTTGCCGTAAATAAACGTGAGGCTGTTAAATATAATAGGCTTTTCATTCACCCTAGTCAGAAATGGAGGGAGAGGGGGAAAATGCAGAGGAAAGTCAAGAAAGCTAAGTGAGAGAGTCTGTATTTTCAGTTCTGCTACTTAGCACATTTGTGAGTAAAGTTGTGGGTGTGTTGTGGTTTAAGTTTGATTAGAGTTTTTATTTTGAAACAGTTAAAGAAATTGGAAAGTAATTTATTTGGCATCTATAATACATTTGATACAAAATAAAGGAAACCAGTGTCATTATTTTGCTGTTGAGTTATGATACCCAAAACTTTTGTTTAGGACCACTGAAATGTGATTTCCCAGAAAGAACCCCCAAGTCCCTCATGTTGTTTGAGTTGTCTTATGACAATATACAAGTTTGGTTTTGAGTATTTGGATTTGTTTTATTTATTCCTCAGCATGGGAAGGACTTTGAAGCTATCCAGAACAACATTGCTCTTAAATACAAGAAGAAAGGCAAACCAGCAAGCATGGTGAAGAATAAGGAGCAGGTCCGCCATTTCTACTACCGCACCTGGCACAAGATCTCAAAGTACATTGACTTTGATAATGGTTAGTATGCAATGAAATGAGCTTAGTGTAGAGCTCACACTCTGGTGAGAGTTGATGTCCTGCCTTTTAGTGCCATCATGGATGCAGGAATGGTGGCACTAAGAAAATAATACTGAATAGGATGTCTGTGATCATGTCTTATTTTTATTAGCATGGCCATACTGAGGTTCGTGTTTTATGGTGGTTGAATTTTTTTGGTCTTCACACGGTTTCTTAATATCAGCAAAAGTTTGGGTAGTAATTCATCTATGTGATTTGTGGACAGAGCCTCTCAAGTTGAAAATAACTTATTAACGAGAAATGGGCATGACTATAAAAAAGGCTGTAGGAATGGAAAGATAAATACAGACTCTTTATGAAATTGTTTTGACTATTCCTCGGATGAGGTTATCTAAAGGAGGACTTACACATCTAAACCACCTGTCATAAGGTGTATTTCTGAGTTCCATTTTCAAAATAAGACAGCATCCTAAGACAAAATAAGCCGTTTGAAAAAAAACAAATGTTACAGCAAACACAGTTCGGAAGAACTTTTTAAAAAATGTCGTGGAGGAACTTCATCTGTTCTCTGGATAATGTCAAGTTTTGTATCTATACCTGTAAGGCCTGAAATCTCATTGGCTGAAGGAATTTAAGAACTAGTGCAGTAATTTGATTAGATGGAGTATTGGTAGAAATATGTGTGCCTGGATTTTAATATTACATGAATCTGCAAGTCAAAGAGAACGGAACTCTTGATGAATAGACAAGAATAAATACTTGCATCTGATTTGTGAACTATAAGCATGTCTTTTTTTCCCCTTGCTGTCATATTTAGATCTCCTAGCAGTAATAATGTCCACATCGGTGTGTAGATAAGAAAGAAGAAAAAATTGTGTGCAATTCTTCACATAAAAACTTATAATCTAGAATTTGCATAAAATCCCTAAGGTTCATTTGTGTGCGTAGAAGACATTCTCTGTTTTCTGGAAAAATCAAACCTACTTCTTAGTTTTCATAGAAGAAAGAGTTCTGTATGCATTTTCTTGGGGGCATCTGGACATCTAGTTTACAAATTGTAAACAGTTAGGTGATACAAGGGTTAGCTTTATATAAAAATGTTGCATTTCCCAGATATTTAAGTCACCAAGAGGAAATTGGTGAACCTGTCTAGTTAGAGTGCTTATTGAAAGAGATCTTAGTCTTGCCTTCAATGAAGTGTTGTCTTGTAGTTGAAAATAGCAATCATCACAATTTCAGTGTTGCAATGAGTATCTGCATCTCAGGTACACCTTTTCTGCTTTTCAGTGTTTTCTCAAGGACTGAAAAAATCCTCCCTGGAGCTTTATGGCTTAATCTGCTATGGGGAATTAAGGAAGAAGATTGGGGGATGTGAGTATGAATTAATTTTTTTTTTTTTTAGGGTAGGATCAGAAGTGTCTACCCTTAAAGTTGGCAGTATTTGAGTACAGTTTCTCTTTTGAGTTATTCAGAATTTCTGTTCATTGTATTCTATCACAGCAATCTGTGTTACCAGTTTTTCGTTAAATATATTCTTAATTTTCAAATAGCTGCTTACTCTGTTGCATTAGTCCCCCTTTTGATCAGATTTCTTTAGCTTTTGCTGTCTGTGGAATGCAGTACCTGTAATACCCACAGGTGAATCAAAGCATCACAGAATGGTTTGAGTTGGAAGGGACCTTAAAGACCCTCTAGTTCCAACCCCCCTGCCATGGGCAGG